TGGTTAATTGACAGATTGGTTAATTGATTCATTTCCAACAGAAATACACTGAGGGTGAAAGGCAGGCTTCTTTCAGTTGATTGACAGCCTGTGAGCCAATGGGAGCGGAGTTCTCCTGCAGTGGGGCGGGGCCCGGCTCCTCAGCCTCAGTTGTTGAAGATGTCTCCTTAACAACCGACCAGAGTCAAACTCGTTCCCGCAGGACTGACGCCTCGTAAGTAGCCCCGCGTCCGTACTCTCCCCCGCCGACCACCGACACACACTCGACCACACTCGGTCTGTGGACCCCGCGGGTCAGAACGTGTCTCAGCTGATGGAGAAACCACGAACCTTTAGCTTGTTTGCTATCGAGCTAGCCAGGTTAGCTAGCTAGCTAGCTAGTAAAACATGTGAAGCTAGTAACCGACACTGACGCGACGAAAGCCCGCGTGAGTTTAAAGAGTCTGTCCGCCCTCTGTGTCTCGGTCACCGGAGTCTGGTGTTTGTTGTCTGGCGGGAATCTGCGGCGAGATGCTCGTTGTAGCTAGCTAGCAACGGCTAAGTGTTGTTAGCTAACTTAGCCTTAGCTGCAGATGTGTGTAGTACCCCCCCCCCCCTGCACCAGCTGGGTTCATGTGTGTGGTTAACATGTGTGGGTCTGTGGGTTCGCAGGGGTCGGAATGGCTGCGACCGCCGAGGGGAAGAAGGAAGAGGCCGACTACAAGAGGCTGCACAGCTTCCCTCTCATCAGGGTAGGAAGTGGGACACGGGGCAGAACCTGGGAGCAGCTCGTCCTGAGAGCGTGGCGTCGGCGGGACGCGTTCATTGTTTGAGTTTCTCTCCCCAGGTCTCAGGTTTCAGTGGCTGCACGTCAACCGTGACTGACTCCATGACAAAGTTGTTCTCTACTCTCTCCACTCACAACGTGCTGCTCCAATTCCGTCCCCCCTGGTGCTCATGGTGTCTTTTCATTTTGTCTCCTACTTATTTATACTTGCACAAATACACCACAGCAAATTCCTGTGTGTGTGTGTGTGTGTGTGTGTGTGTGTGTGTGTGTAAGGCTGCTCGGCAATAAAATCCTTCTGTGGCCGAGAGACATCACCTCAGTGCAAATGAAGAAAAACATTGTAAACATTGAAAACGACACCGTTCAGAGTGGTGGACCTGGTCGTATTTCAACGCTTTGTGAAGTTCCGTCACCACTGACGAGTCTCAGACTTCGATAACTTCTCATGTTCGGGTTCATCACTTTTTTTTCGGTCCCCTGGAAACATTTTCCGGTGTCGTTTTGATGAAGATGTTTTCTGAGTTTGTCTGTGTTGTTCTTCAAATTGATGAAGTTGGTGTCTTTATGTGCAGTGTGTTGAGCTCTCTGCCACCGTAGAATCTGGTTTTATTGCCAACAAGATTCACACGTACAAAGAATCTGCTGTGGTGTATTTGTGCAAGTATAAATATAAAACAAATAGGACACAAAATTAAATATAAGAAATACTACAAGCACCATGGGAGGGATTTTGCAATATGTTGTAAGTAAACACTAGAGACTGGATTGTGCAAAGTGCAGTTATTGCTCTTGAAATTTAAAGTATAAAGTGTCACAGGCATCAGTCCAGTGATGTTGATGAGCAGCAGCAGTCAGGGGAAAAAACAGTTTTTGTGGTTTTAGTCCTGATGGCCTGCAGCCTCCTGCCTTATGGAGTACATGCGTCTTCAATTACTCAGAGACAAATACTAGAACCTTGTGTGTTGACTCTTCAGTCACCGAACATACAAGCCATCATGAAGATGCA